TGTTTTAGGTCTTAACCTAAGATTGAACTTCGGTCTCATTTTAATATACTTAAACTGTAAAAACAAAACTAAAAAGAATTAATTTAAAATATAACTGTTTAGTTCTTTAAAAAATCTGCATTATAATACACAAAAAACTTAGATTATAAAGTAAAAAATCTGAAAGTTATAAACTTGAATTTAACATAAAACAATTAAAAAGTTATCGCACAAAACTTCAAGAAAAAAAAAGTGTACGTACTTTATGGACAACCCCTTATATAATATTGTAAAGTGCTACAAGTACCCCAAGGAAATTGAAATGATTATAAGGTATGTTCAAATTCTGATGATTAGCTTTCAACTATTGCAGCAAAAATTGGTATGCCTATTCGAAAAATCACTTACATTTTAAGGTACAAATACCTGTAAGCGACAAGCGGTTGTTTGAAAAAAAAGTATAATAAATTTCCGTACATTCTACCATTAATAAATACAAAAAAACGTGAAATTAGATCATTAAGATATAGAAATAGTTTGTTTACCTAACAATTTTTAACTAAATAATTTTTCTCCCTGGTCCTTCCAATATGGCTGGCGAATATATTTTGGCTTCAAAAATTATGCTACTTTTATTAGATGCGCTACCCAGTTAATTTATAGATTAATTAACAAACATATATCAATCTTACTTGTTTTATTATTTGGTCTATATATTATTTTGCATTTATTATTGTTTTATTTTTTGATTGTCAGATATTTTGTTAAATATTTTTCATTGGTTTTTAACAAACTTACCTATTTGTTAATATATCTTATCAGTAGCGTAGGAGGGTTTTTAAATGTTTGAAATGATCAAATTTTAAACAAAAAAAATATTCTAAATTTTTTTACGTTTATATGTATAATGAAAAGGTTCTTAAAAAATAAATATATTACTGTAATAGTAAAATGGGAACAAGATCCTAAAATTTTTTCTTACTACGCCATTGTATCTTATATTATTATAATATAAGTCGATCACTTGTACTTAAATTTATTTGAACAAAAAGTACTAAGAAATATCTAACAATATATAAAAAAATTCTTAAACAGATCAGAAAAAAAAACAAAGTTTATCTGTTGTAACAAGAGGTGAAAAGTAACGAATTATATTTATACTCACATTACTGTAATTGAGTATATTTCTGTAAATTGTGTACTTTTTTAAGTATTTTTTTAAATATGTTTTTTCACTTAAGTATATATATATATATATATTTTTTTTTACGAATTGTACTTCGCTACATTTTAAATCATACGTTACTAAGTAAAAAAAAAATATTATAATTTAACGAAGTATTTCCTTACAAATGATAAGACGTATTGCGGAACCTTCTCATAAAAAATTACGGACACTTTTTTTTTTTTCTTTATACATAACAAGTCTTCTTCAAATACAACTGTAACAATGAAAAAAATTAATCAAGAAAGAAATGATATTGAAAAATCATTTCCTGCTTGTTGTTGTTGCGAGTGAAATACTAAACAAAACAAATCTTGCTGATATTAAAGCAACAAAAAAATATATAGCAAATATATAGCATATTCAGATCTTTCATTGAAAAATAGATTATAGATTACCGTTGCATCAATATGTGTCATTCCAAAAAGAAACTATTTTGCTATATTTTCATTAGTGTTGTCAAAACAAATGGTATCTTTTTTAAAATGAGGTGAACAAGTTTTTCCGACAATCGGTTATGATTATTGGACAATCGGTTATGATTATCGGAAAAAGGTTGTCAAGAGATTGCGAAAACTATGATTATTTCATAAGAAGGCACAAGAAAAATTAATAGCACTATATGCATCAGGTTTAAAAACCAAACATCAAATGATAAATGAAATGCATGATAAGCAATGCGATGAGCATTACAAGTGCTTAATTCGTGTAATCTCTTAAAATAATGATATTGAAGGAAATCTTAGTTAGTTACTTTTAATGAGGAGTAAGGATTACCCACCTCTATTAAGCTGATTGTCTTAGAATAAGTACATTTCTCATGATAATCTTAGCGGGATGATAGAACTAATGGCAAATTATGTGCAAAAAAATGTGCTATTAAATCATAAAAACTTTTGATGATGATAATACTCTGAACAATCACAAATGGGACATGATAAAATATTACCATACCAAATATTACGAGGCACGTTACGCCAATTAAACCAACGGTTTCCAAACAATTCAATGGAATCATTAATCGCTTTAGAAAAGTTGTCACTGTCATAAAAGCTTTAGATATTGTAAAAGATTTTTTAAAAAATGATAAAGTATACGATAAATTAAACGCTAATCTCTTTCTGTTTAAATCCGTTAGAGAAAATTATAGTATTGTATGTACAATAAACATGAAACAAGTAACATCAATCTCAACTGTGATATGATATGACATATGTTATATGATGTGGTATAATATGATATGACATGATGTGATATGATATGACATATGTTATATATATTTGTAATATGATACGACAATAAAAGAGTTTCAATAATGCTTTTTAAAATATCAAAACTTCTCAAAACTATCTTACGATACTAATAACAATCAGCACAGCCGAGCAATTTTGCTCTCATCTAAGAAAGATGAAGTCATATAATTGATCGATCTCGACTCAAAAGCAATTGAATCATCTTCTACCTCTTTAATTTTATAAAATTGAACGCTGTAGAAATTGGTGTAAAAACCATAGCAAAAGATTTGAAAAACAGAAAAAGTAAATACACCTGAATTTTTTACTATGGAAAACTGAATTTTTTTGTTGTTGTTGTCTTATAGAATCATTCAAATTCTTTTCAGTTTGTAATATATTCTTTTAATTTTACACTGCCTGTGATTGAAATAGTTTGACGTTAAATTTTAATAAAATGTTTAAAATGTTAATAAATTTTGATAAAATGTTTGTTTTTGATAATATATGTTATTGAAAATGAATCTTCTTTTAAAGTTAACTGAAAATTAACTTTAATTTTAATTTGCAAAATATTTTTAACAAATTATACAAAATTATATATGTTTAAAATAATTCTAAAAACTTCTTTCTCAGAGAGTCCATTATTATCTCAGTTTTTATTCTCAGTAAAACAAACTATTTCCGTTTCCACATTTTAATGTATCACCCTCAAATGTTCTTTCTTTAATTAATTTTTGTAACAATCTTAAAACTAAATTACAGTTTCTCATTCAAACTTAGATTTACTCACTAAAAACAAAGGACATATATACTAGGTTAGAGACTACGTGCACATCATGAACAGAAAGATACCAGATATAATTGTTTTACTGTTTGATGGTTACATAAGATTTTTCTAAACGTTCTCTATATTCTTTTCTAAGTTAGATTGTGGCAGAGTTAGATCCAGAGCATCTAATAAGAGGGATGATTTTTAGGCAATTCCGTAATCCATATACGCAATTTTAACTAAATTTTTTTTTAGTATCAGTTTTATACAATGTAATTATGAAATAACCTAACTACTGTTATTCCAACAGTCCGATTTAAAATTCGTATCTAACAACTTTATTAAAGATTTATCACTTTTTTAAACAGCCTGCACATGCAGGCTGTTTAAAATAGTGATGAATTTTTAATAAAATTGTTAGATACGAATTGCTTACATTTTTAGTTTAACAATATGCTGTGTTAAGTATATAAAAATATAAAAAATAGATGCAAGTGATTGCCCAATTACACCCTATGAATCCGCGTGGCTCGAAGGGGAATATTTCAACTAATGCAATGTTGTATTTAAGATGCAAACCATGTTTTAAGGAAATCTAAACTAATATTTTCTGTTAGGCTAAACAAAAATTAAAATTTGTTAAAAAAATGTTATATTCGAAGAAATACAATTATGTCCCTTTTTTTAAAAAAAAAATAATAATAATAATTAGAAAATTCAACAATCCTTTTCTCAATAAATACGGCAATGGAATGATAAAGTATGGAAAAAAAATTTATAATATGTATTATTAAATCACATAAATATCAAAAATTATTGGTAAAACCGGCAAAACTGCTTGTTAAAATATAATCAAATTACCAATTTTTAATTAATGTTTCATACTGTGAGTTTAATATTATTCATTCCTAAACTTTCTTCAAAAGCCTCAGTAAGATACCAACTGTTTAATTAATTGTTAATGATTTTAATTTTTTATTCAACTTTTAGTTTAAGTTTTCTTAATTTTAATTTACAAAAAATTATGGCTGCATCAGAATGATTGCATCAGATTAAATGAAATATTATAACGAAGTGGTAAAAAAAAATTGAGCAAGCTTTTCCTGTAATAAACAATGAAAATTCACAGAAATCGGAAAAAGATTGCAATTACAAACTTATATTTATATTTACTATAATTTAAAATCTTATTTTAAATAATAGTAAATATGATTTATTTGATACGAGTAGTAATTTTAGTGTCATCAATTCTTTATTTTAATGAATTAATTAAAAAAAGCTAAGTATATGATTTTATAAACAAGGTATGAGGTTTTACTTATATAACGTTAAAACATTAAAATTTTAACAGATTTGTGATAATAATATTAGTTAACTGTTATATATATATATATATATATATATATATATATATATATATATATATATATATATATATATATATATATATATATATATATATATATATATATATATATATATATATATATATATATATATATATATATATATATATATATTTATAATTTTTAATAACACATTAACTCCTACAATATTTTTAATGCAAAATGAGCACTAAATATTAACTCGTTTGCTATCTTTTTTTCTTTCAAAATTTAAAACTTATATGGCGGTTTGGCATATGGCAAATCATTTGTGACGTGCACTAATAGCTGGCTAACGTTAGTACTTTAAAAAAACACCAGAGCTAAATAACTGCTTCTTTATTTATAACCAGTGGCTATAATCTTAAGCAGCTAGTGTCAGAAACTTATGATGCACGCCACTAAAAGTACAATAAAATATAAAACTTAACAATATAAAGTATATATGCTTAAAATTATTATCTTATCCTAATTTTTGTATAGGTTTAACACTAATGAAAAAAAAAAAGTTACTTGTCTCTTTGTTTTGCATGATTACTTTCTTAACATACTCGACTGCGCAGTTTTTTTATCCATCAAGAAAGTTATCATCTCGCTACTCATTCACTATTTTTCAAGATAGACAAGTAACATATAGTACAAACCTTGTGGAAACACATGCGGATTACGAAGATTGCATTACTGTTTGCTATAACATTTTTGATAGATGTAAGTCCATAGACATCCAAATTGTGAATAATTCAACACTAGTATGTCGATTTTTTAACGACGATTCTCCACCAACTCAGTTAGCAGAAGGATATCTTTTTGTTTCTACAGTACCAGTACGTTGTTTTTTTAATAATATGTCAGTGTTATAAAATATTTATTTTTTTAGTTCAATATATCATATGCAAGGCATAAATGTTTCTTTTTTTTTTGTCCTACTTCACCCCACATGTAAACACTTTTTTAAGGTACATTTCAAAATTAGGACTTCTAATGCACGCAGGAAACAAAGCAACTTCCGCTTTGTTTCCTGCGTGCGTTAGGGGAAGAAATTTAATTGTTTACATTAGATAACAGTATTTAGACACCAATCCTAATTAGAAATTTCAGGCTGTCCCACTTCTCCCGCGTCCTACTTCTCCCTACTGTTCCCTATATATATATAATCGTGCAAGGCATTTACAAATAGTTATAAACTGATGAAGTGTTAAGACCTAATTATAGCATAATAATAATAATCATAATAATAATTAGTAATAATAATAAATAATAATAAATATTAATATTATTAATAATAATAATAATAATAATAATAATAATAGTAATAAATAGTAATAAATAGTAATAAATAGTAATAATAATAATAAATAATAATAATAATAATAATAGTAATAATAATATTAAATACAGTTTATTAAATACAAATATTTTACTTTTATAATCGAAATAAAACATTTGTAGCAAATTGCGATTATCATTAATAATAATGAAAATAAGAATATAAAAAAATAATATTAATAACAAAAAAATATAACAAGTAAAAAGAAGAAAAGAAAATAGGGAGAAGTTTAACGACTTAGAAAAAAGAGTCTAAGAAGGAGAAGTCCTTGGAGAGTTGTGTTATGTACCAGAATTTTTTCAGCATAGTATTTTAGAAGGAAATAGAAATATTAAATATGCATTAAAGTAAAATAAAAAGAATTATAAAAAAAAAAATTGTTATAAAGAAGCGGGGCGATTGCATAGAAAATTTATACAATTGTTTATTGTTTATTTATTACATGTTACATGGTTTAATAACAATGCCACAAACTTTGGAGCCACATAAACTTTACTGGATGATGAAAATGAGGGTATTTGATTGCGACTAAATGAACATTTATATATTTTTATGTTTTATTTTAAGAGTTGTATATTTTTATTTTTATTTTATGAGTTTTATACTTTTATTTTTATTTTATGGGTTTTATATTGTTATTTTTATTTTTTATTTTTATTTTTATTTATGAGTTGTATACTTTTATTTTATCAAAAGTTTAGTTATAGAGAATAACTAGAGGATTGCATAACTGATAGCTCATTGATTATTTTTATTGAGGATAAACTTTTTTACATGGCTTATGAAGGCATTTCTATTTGTAATTTCGGAGAATATTTTTTTAGTTTCAACAGGAAGAGAGTTCCAACAGTGAATTGATTGATACTTGATTGACTTTATGCTATACTTATGTGTTTGTTTTAAAGGCATTGAGAGACTACATCAAGATACAGACCTAAGTTTATAACTATGAATATCATTTTTGAATTTAAAATAGCTAGTGAAGCAGCTGGGCATATTATTGTGGCCAATGTGCCATACAAGTACACAGTTTGATAAGTAGATAAGTTCGTCAAGCTTTAAAATTTTAGAAAGATTATATGTCAGAACTAAAACTGTTAGGTTGAAAGTGAAATATTCTTAAAGATTTATTCTAGAGATTTATAAGGTTTTTTTGAGATTAACTTTGAGATTAAATTTGTCTCCATATCTGACAACCATAGTGTAGATGGGAGTTAAAAACAGCATGCCAAATATTTACAAAAATTTCGTAATTCCCAAAATGCCTTATTTTGGTAAGCGTTCCATTTCCTTGACTTAGTTTGTTTGATATGGATTTAATTTGTTGAATGAATAAAAGATTTTCATCAAATAATATGCCCAGATATTTTATTTTATCTACAATATTTAGTTTTTGACCACTAATTCTAAAAGTAAGTTTTTTAGTAATTTTTTTACCTTGAGGTTTAAATAGAACTAATTCAGTTTTTTTGACATTCAAAGATATTTTGTTTGATTGCAATGATTAAACCAGTGATGCCAGGTCATAATTTAGGTACATATTTAGCTTTTTCAAGACTTATCTACAATCAGGAGGTTAG